CACACACACACACACACACAGCAGCTCTGTCACGTCTCTACAGCTCGTAGTTGTGCGTCATTATCGTGGCTGTATTTACCACGATGGCAACGCAAAGACACCCAGAATCAACAAAACACGACATCTCGTCTCTTCGATTTCGCTGCACGAGCCGACTTTGACTATAATCACCAAACTGTATCGACATCAGCTGTTTCCACTTCACATGCAGCGTCTGCACAAACAGACGACTCCTGTGGAATAAACACTGGCGCCGGGACTCATGAACGGAAATCAATACACTTCAACACACGACGACAATATTTCACCATCACTGAACACGATTTGTGTGCCGCGTCTGACGTCTCAGCGCTTCGTCTGAACGTGTTGCTTTACTGACTGTGACATACATCAGGAGGAAGGTGAATATCTGCGGCTGCTGAAACGCTTTAAACACGGTGGGTATGCAAATAGCGTGAGGCGAAACGTGTCGCGACTTTAAAACCTTCTAATAATCATCGAGTTGTGTTAAAACCATCTTTGAAGCTGAAAAATGAAGCGAATGCTTTTAAAATCTGCCTGCATTAAAAATCACGCCTGGGACAAAGGAGGTGTTGGGTCTCTGTGGACAGCTTCTCCCACGTCACTAAACGGGGCTCCTGCTGGGTGTTTAACGGATTCTGTGCCTGACGTTACGACTGTGTGGTGCTAACCATCCAGAAAGTGGGCGGTGTCACCGTGGCTTCATCAGTTTTATATCGCCTGTGGTTTGCACCGGGGCTGGTTCTGACCCACAACAGATCAGAGGTTCATTCCAAGTCCAGAGAAGAACATGATGTAGAAATCACACGTTAGCAGATCCAGGAAGCAGCCACACCTGTCAGCAGCACCTCAGACATCAAACCAGCCAATCCAGGAGCTTCAAGCTCTTGTGTAACATTTAAGCATTTAAAGCCTTTAAAACAAACTTCCTGGTTCATATTTGATCCTCTATCAGCAGCAGCTGAACACTGACAGACCTCGTCACCATCAGCGGATCAAAGTGCGTCGTGAAAACGAGGCGGATCGAAGACTTCAGGGAAACTTAAGTGTTTCCTGCTGAAATATTTGGCTTGTATGTAAACGCTATACTCCATCAGTCCATCACTTATGGAGGCACTGGTGTGTTTCTCCAGGGTCTCCTCTGAACTCAAAGTTCGAGCTGCGACACCCAACAGAGGAAGCTCGAGGACAGAAACATCTCCTGCTCCTCACTCGTTAATAACACCCACAGATAACCGACCTCCACTTCCTCTGAAAGACTCACAATATCTGCACTTCAACAACACAAAGAAAAAAGCAGGAATTTTCCATATTTGTCCTTTATGAGGTTAACAACGCTTCATTATGTAGTGAAAATAAACGATGCTG